CTGGAACAGAACAGAAGTCCATTCATCAGACGCTCTTTCTGGGCGTTTCGAACACCTTTACATTAATGCTGCAGCAGTTTCAACACAGTTGAGCATGTATTGGAAAGTATGGTTTGACCTTAAAGGCAATTTTCCCCCTAAGCGCTCAAAAATAGTTAACTGGCTCATCATCTCCCATCATCTTGCTAGCCAACTCCAAGCCAATTTGGTGGAGAGCCTGGGAAAATAAAGTTCTAAATGGGAAGGAGAACTTCGGTTAAATTACAATTGTGCCTTTGCTTCTCAGAACAAGTAGGGACCTGGTTAAAGTTCACAGGCTGGAAGACTTCTCCTCCCTCCTCCTCCCCTCTCTCCTTTTCCTCCCCCTCCCTCCTCAGCTCCCCCATCTTTGGGAGATTCAGCTTTCCTTTGCAGCTGGCCATAAATGAGGACCAGGCTTTGCACTCTCTGCTTTCACAAGGTATTGTTAGGTCAGCAAAGCCATCAATTAGGCTGTCTGAAGTTTTATCACCAGCACAGCAGCAGTAAGTGCCGGCCCAGAAAGACTTCTGCTCTTCAGCAACTCCTGCAGTTTGAGCCTGTAAAGTCAGGGGTCATTTGGAGGTCAGTGCCAGTTGGGGGCGACCTTTTCAGCCAATGCTGGGACACCCAGGGCAGAGGATAAGGTAACTGCCAACCATAAACTGAGGCACCTTTCAACTCACCAGAAAGGGGGGTGCCTCAGGTACACATGTTTAATATTAGTCCCAAAGTAACTTTTTAAAATCAGGTAGTGGATGAATCACAGGAATGCGAGGGGAGAGAGTCAGTTAGTTACTTGGTTTAAAAAAAAAAAAGGCCTGGATCTAATTTTCTTGGCAACCCAAAAATAAGTGCCTACTTCATGTTACTTTAATGTTTAATAATGCCCATCAAATATTCATGTACAGACTAAAGTAGGCTGATAAAAAAGAATCCACTTTATTTCTCCAAACTTAATGAAAACAAAGCAATTTCTGCCACTTGCCAGGTATACTCATCCCTATACTTCTGAGAAATATGCATTGCCCAGTGTGCAATTTACATAAAGATTCAATAACGCTGTGTTTTTAGCGTGCGTGCGTGTGCCTGGACGCCATGTCGGAATACTGTTAGGTGATGGCTTACAAATAAAAATCAAGTAGAACAATAACAACTTTTAAGATTTTTTTTCACTTTCAAATCTTGAGCATAAATCTGCCTTAATGAAGTTTGGCCTTTCGCTCCCCTCTTCTTCAGGAATCTTAGTTTGCCATCATTGTGCCCCCACGGTCCTCTGCTACTGCTACAGTCAAGAACGGAAAATTCAATTCTGCCTGACCTTACTCTCATACTTCTGCTGATTAGCCAGCAGAATCCCAGCATTCTTAGCTGAGCGTCAAGGAGGCATTCGGAACTCGGCGCTCCTACAAGGTTAAAGTCCATCACAGATGAGAAAAGACAGTACACATTTATTTGTTTATACCTGCAGTAAGCGCTCTAGTGGGAATTCCGTTAGACAGATGCCGAAATGCTGCAAGGAACACCAAAGGGCTCTTTTGCATATGGTGTTTGTATCCAAAACCTTCTTGATTCCTTAAGAAAGTATTGCTCAGTTGTCAAAAAATGGCTTTGCATTGGCTAAGGGGAAGCTTCGATGATACAAGTTAAAAACAAAGAGAAAGTGCAATCTGCATCTCTCTCCCTTCCCCGGCTTATCTTGAGTGAGATACTGGAGGTGATTTCAACCAGGTACATCTGACACTGTCCCTAGGACTTCCAGCAATGTTTCCCTTTTTCTAGACAAAGGGTCTTAGATAGGAGCTAAATTTCTCACCTTTTTCTATCACCTCCGTGGCTGTGCCAACAGAGAGCTGACCTGAACCTTTTGCATCCCAGTCACCTTTTATCAGCTAAAGTTAAGGCCAATAGAGATTATCAGAAAAACCAGATAAGAATGTTTTCTCTCCTTCTGGGAGTTTCTAAGGGGCTACTCAGAAGACCAAGATTTTACCTCCTTTATGGGCTACTATGTGCTAATCCTGGTTTTGTTTTTTCCCCGTTACTCCAACTCCTTGGGTAAAACGAATTTCTATTTTTTCCCTTTTTAATTTCACCCTTTTACTCTTTCATTATTTACATCTGGTAGTTGTTCCCTTATTTATGTCTCTCTCTCTCCAGTTCCCCAAAACACTCCCTCACTCACTGAACAGCAAGGCATCATGGTTCTTAGTTCTCAGCAGGAGAACTCCACACTGTCTTCAAACAAATAATTAAGGGGAAGGTTAAAGGTTCACTTAAAGGTCATTTCTTTGGATACTCCTCAGAATGTTTACATTAGTAAAAAAAAAAAGGGGGGGTCTGCTCAAAAGGTTTTTCAATGACGTTTACACAACAATACAAAACATTAAAAAAGCATTCTATGTCCTAGCAGGTCTTTATAGGCACACTGAACTTGGAAATGCCACTCCAGGATTACATTTTCAGCAAGTTGCCATGGCATGGACTTGATGTTCATTAGAAGTTATGGCAGTGACTTTGGGTGGGGGGTGTCCAGTTCAGCCTAGTTCTGCTGAGCAAATATGAATAAAAACCGTTTTGTCCATAAGATCTTTTTTTTTTCAAATGATGATGGAGGTTTTGCTCTTGTCTACTGATTCCATTTGAAATTTCCAAAATTGCCTTTCCCCTAAAATGTGATATATTCCCATTGCCGTTTCTGTCCAGATTCATAATTCTACCACCTTTCCAAGATGATAGAGGATTTAAACAAGAAACTATTGAGGTAGCTGAGGCTCTTGATCAAGGGATCACTTATAAATATTGCAGATGGTTTAAAAATAATTAGCAATAATATGAATTGCTCATTAGAAGGAAACTTTCACATTAAAAAAAAAACCCTCCATGTTGCCATGGGAGCCAGAAGTCTTTCTACCAGAAAACACACCAAAATTTGCAGTACATAGAAATTATTTTTCCCCCAAGCTAGGTCTGATTTTAATTTGCTTAATGTTGGTAAAAAGGAAATTTCTATCTATAATCATTTCATAGAATTATGCCAAACAAGCAAACTTTTTTTTCCATTTCCTTTGATCTAAAAGCAATTCTTCATATTTCAGCAAAAAAAAAAAAGGACATTCTGTTAGACTGGTTTAGTGGTAGTAGATGACTATCCATTTAGATTCCCTGTAAAATTTGTAGGTTCTAATGTGCAAACTATTGAACTTGAACCTTTGAAGGCCCAAGTTCCATTCACATGGAAAAATTCAACTTATTGGTTCAGAAACAAAAGGCTTATTTAAAGAAGGCTCAGAAGGTTTCTTGGACATTAAATGATTCTTACAAAATAACATTTTGATGAGTTAAGTGTAAATGAATCAGACACATATGGATTAAGTTATCCTTGAATTTCACACAGGTTTTACAAATAAGAAGAAAAGAGGGTCTTGGCAAAAACTTTTTTGGATTTTGCCAAACCCAAAACATTTAAAAAATTGTTCAACGCATCCAAGGAATCAAAATGCATCAGGCTTCACCCAACTTAAAAAAAAAAAAGAAAAAGAGTCCCATCAATTATTTCCTATTAGTAGACTGTTCATTTCTTCTTTCTCCAATATTTTAAAATCAATTTGCTATATACACTCTATAATATCATTCTATAATGATTAAGTAATGAGAATTTGATAGGCCTCAATATTAAGAAAATATTACATTACTAAAAGGTGGGGGTTTTTTTTGGAGGGGGAGATAGCTAAAACTAGGTATCAAACAGCTGCTAAGATCATTTTATGGTTTGTATAGCTTGTGTGTGAGGTTTTTTTTTTTTTTTGTGAAAGAAGTCCTGAGATTTAGCACCTTGTAATGGTTTAAGGAGTACACATTATTCTATTTGTGAGTACAGCACTTTGAAAATTAGCACCCTAACTTGTACTGGGTCCATTGATTTGTATTGTCTCAGATTAAATTCTAGACATTCAGCTCCATATTTTTTAGCCTAAGGATACAAGACTGCAAACTTTCTATCTAATCATCTAAATAGAAGATACTTCAGTTCAGGTGATACTTAAAATATATCCAACATTGATGTGTAAGATAACCTATTTCTTATAATCTAGGGACATTCTGAAAACAATGCAATTTCTCTCTCCCATTATTTTCCCCAGAGGAAACAAATATGCTATTAAAAAAAATCCAGTGATTATCATTGAGAATCATCTTTTTCCTGGAATGATATCTCCTGAAGAACTCCTCAATATCCTCCTCAATATCCTCCTCAAAGGACAGTCAGACTATGTGGCTTAGTACACTTTTCTGCAGCTGAAATCTGACCACCTTGGTTTTTCTGTTAAAGAATTTTTTTTTACTCCAAAGCATATTTCAGACTGATAGAAGTAGGCTTGGGTGTCATTCCTGATTGTTGTTAGGTTTCTTTTCTTTTCTTCCCCCTCCTCTCCTCTCCTTTAAATGGCTGATAAATCCCTTCTTTCTGGTTCACTTACTTTATGCCACACCTGGTAACCAATTCCTCTAGGCAGCATTCCTTTTGTAAGAAAATGCAAGGCAAAGTACTGTCACCTGGAAGTCTTCCAGGCCTGAAGATTCTCTTCAGTCAAGAAAATTAAGACTTGCAGTCATTTTCATTGGAAGGGTTAAGCAAATTGTTGTTCATTTCCCCCCCAGTTTTCATGATCCCATTTGAGGTTTTCTTGGCAAAGATACTGGAGTGGTTTGCCATTTCCTTCTCCAGCTCATTTTACAGATGAGGAAACTGAGGCAAACAGGGTGAAATGACTTGCGTGGGTCAAACAACTAGTAAATGTCATAGATAGGACTTAACTGTTGACTAGAAAAGGGATACCTGATAAACGTGGCGGGGCAGTGCAAGGAGATTGCAGGCAGCACAAAAATTTAGATCTCAACATTTCACAAATTAAAAGCACCTCCACATTCACCTACCACAAACATCCATACATAGAGGTCTCATTTTCAAAGCCTGAAATTGA